AGGGGGACCCTGCAGGCATTTTGAGATGGGGCAAGAGTGAATTTCCTCAGAGCTTTTTCAGAGCTGGGTAACTGGTCTCAGGAAGTTGTAAAAAGCATGAGCATGTCTCATGACTGAGCACCTGAAGAACTGGGAGCAGTAGGGCAGCCAGAGGGGTGGCTGCTGCCTCCTGTGCAATGGGAAGAGACCGAGTTGCAGAAGTGGTTCTGGAGGAGAGAGGACAAAAAGGGTCTTTAGCTGTTGGTGTTTTACAGAGTCACTTCAGTTAAGGTGCAATGTACTCAAGAAAGAGCTGAAAGGCTTTTCTGAAGGGCAGCACCCATCCCTAAAGCCCTGGTGGCTGATTGCTGACCACCACACATACACGATCTCAGAAAGGACTCCAATAAAACCTTCATTGGGACAGCATGCCTCCCACTTTGTGTTTGACCTGGCATCCCATGGGCAGGGAAAGACGTTTGCCTGGAGGACACATGGCTCTTCCCGACTGGTTCCCATCAGAATTTCTCTCCCACAGGCTGCCCTGGGATCCGGAGCCAGAGGTACCAGATGACAGCCAGGTTTCGTGACAGCAACATCACACACCCTGAGATGGGACAGCGGCTGGAGCTGGAGTGTGTGACCCCTTTGGATTACAGCAATGTTTTCTGGTTCCGACAGGACAAGGGTGGGACCCTTCACTTTATCGTCTTTATCTCTTTCTCGTCTGAGACCACGTTTGAGGGATACCAAAAGACATCCACACATTTCGAGGCAAGTAAAGAAAACAAGTTCTACCGGCTGGTGGTAAAATCTTTCACATCACAGGATGAGGGGACCTATTTCTGCATCATGAACAGCAACCAAGTGCTTTACTTCAGTCCTGGCCTGCCTGCCTTCTTCCCAGGTAAGTAACACCTCCACCCTACCTCACTTAGCTCTCCCAAAATGTCCAGCTCCCCATGCTCATATCTTTTTAAATCACTCACCTCTCATACAATCCCATTTTGCTTGACCAAGGCACCTTGTAACCAGCACAGCCATCCTCCTGCCAGAGGCTCCCTGCTTGCTGTTTCTTCTCATAATATCACCCCTTCCCAAAGTAGGAGATCAACGGACAGACCCAGCATCACCTCCCAAGCCCAGCCCATAATGGCTGTGAAGGAACTTGACAAAAACAAAGTCCTCCAGACCCACAAACACCTTCCTTATCTCACATCAGTCCCAAAAACTCCTACAAACTTCAGCAT